TTCAGAGGAAAACACTTTTATTGCATTTTTTATTCATTTATTTTTAATTGAAGGATAACTGCTTTACAATATTGGTTCGATCTCTGCCATACATCAGTATGAATTAGCCATAGGTGCATTTTGCTTTAAATACCAGTCGCAGGTATATTTGGAGCAGGGGAGGATTGGTCCTTCTTGAGAGGTATTTTGACAGCATTACTTTAAAGTGCAAGGGCTGTTTTTCCTCACTGTCTTCTCTAGACAGCTCCATTCTCAATCTCGACTCAATTTTCGAATGTTTAAAGTAACATGAAGACGCAGTTTTATGCATAATGACTTAGAAGCTTTATCCCAAAGCAGAACTGAAATATGTTGTTTTGGAGGAAGGATCCTGAAGTTCACCTATCATTTTGCCAGTCAGCATCAGAGAGGTTTGCTTTGCAACCGAAGATGGAGAAGCTCTATACAATCAGCAAAAACAAGCCCGGGAGTTGACTGTAGCTCAGATCATGAGCTCCTTATTGCAAAATTAAAATTTACATTGAAGAAAAGTAAGGAAAATCAATAGGCCATTAAGGTATGACCTAAGTCTCTTATGACTATACAGTGGAAGTGAGAAATAGATTTAAGGGACTAGATCCGATAGACAGAGTGCCTGAAGAACTCTGGATGGAGGTTTATGACATTGTACTGGAGGAAGTGATCAAAACCATCCCCAAGAAAAAGAAATGCAAAAAGGCAAAATGGCTGTCTGCGTAAGCATTAAAAATAACTGAGAAGAGGAGAAGCTTTTCTTTCTTGATTCCAGGTAAAAAAGGAAAGATCTACCCATTTGAATGCAGAGTTCCAAAGAATAGCAAGGAGAGATAAGAAAGCCTTCCTCAGTGATCAATGCAAAGAAACAGGGGAAAACAATAGAATGGGAAAGACTAGAGATCTCTTCAAGAAAATTAGAGCTACCAAGGGAACATTTTATGCAAAGATGGGTACAATAAAGGAAAGATATGGTAAGGACCTACAAGAAGCAGAAGATATTAAAAAGAGGTGGCAAGAATACAAAGAAGAACTAAACAAAACATATTAATGACCCAGATAACTACAATGGTGTGATCACTCACCATAACCCAGACATCCTGGAGTGCAAAATCAAATGGGCCTTAAGAAGCATCACTACAAACAAAGTTAGTGGAGATGATAGAATTCCAGTGGAGCTATTTCAAATCCTAAAAGATGATGCTGTGAAAGTGCTGCACTCAATATGCCAGCAAATTTGGAAAACTCAACAGTGGCCAAAAGACTGAAAAAGGTCAGTTTTCATTTCAATTGCAAAGAAAAGCAATGCCAAAGAATGTTCAAATTACCACACAATTGCACTCATCTCACACGCTAGCAAAGTAACGCTCAAAATTCTCCAAGCGAGGCTTCAGCCATAGGTGAACCATGAACTTTCAAATGTTCAAGGTGGGTTTAGAAAAGGCAGAGGAACCAGAGATCAAATTGCCGACATCCACTGGATCATCGAAAAAGCAAGAAAATTTCATAAAAAAATCTACTCCGCTTCATTGACTACACTAAAGTCTTTGACTGTGTGGATCACAACAAACTATGAAAAATTTTTAGAGATGCAATACCAGACCACCTTACCTGTCTCCTGAGAAACCTGTATGCAGGTCAAGAAGCAACACTTAGAACCAGACATGAAATAACAGACTGGTTCCAAATTGGGAAAGGAGGAGGTCAAGGCTTTATACTGTCACCCTGCTGATTTAATTTATATGCAGAGTACATGTGTGAAATGCTGAACTGGATGAAGCACAAGCTGGAATCAAGATTGCAGGGAGAAATATCAATAACCTCAGATATGCAGATGTCACCACCCTTATGGCAGAAAGTAAAGAGGAACTACAGAGCCTCTTGATGAGGGTGAAAGAGGAGAGTGAAAAAGCTGGCTTAAAGTTCAACATTCAGAAAACTAAGATCGTGGCATCAGGTCCCATCACTTCATGGCAAATAGATGGGGAAATAATGAAAACAGTGTCAGACTTTATTTTTTTGGGCTCCAAAAATCACTGCAAATGCTGACTGCAGCCATGATATTAAAAGATGCTTGCTCCTTGGAAGAAAAGCTATGACAAATCTATACAGCGTATTAAAAAGCAGAGATATTACTTTGCTGACAAAGGTCCATATGGTCAACACTATGGTTTTCCAGTGGTCATGTATAGATGTGAGATTTGGATTATAAAGAAGGCTGAACACCGAAGATTGATGCTTCTGAACTGCGGTGTTGGAGAAGACTCTTGAGCGTCCCTTGGATTGCAAGGAGATCAAACCCAGTCAATCCTAAAGGAAATCAGTTCTGAATATTCATTGGAAGGACTGATGCTGAAGCTAAAGTCTTTGGCCACCCGATGCAAAGATCTGACTCATTAGGAAAGACTGCGATGCTGAGAAATATTGAAGGCAGGAGGAGAAGGGGATGACAGAGGACAAGAGGGTTGGATGGCATCACTGACTCAATGGACATGAGTTTGAGCAAGCTCTGGGAGATGGTCAAGGACAGGGAATCCTGGCATGTTGCAGTCCATGGGGTTGCAAAGAGTCAGACACGACTGAGCAACTGAGAATCTCAGAGAGGCTTGAGGATACAAAGAACATCGTGAGAGGGGGCACTGATGAAACTCCATTTGACGGTCAGAACTTTAATCCCCTTCTGCCACTAGACTCTTTGAATGATAACAACTAGTTTTATATTCCCCAGACACAAGACTGGAGAATGTCCTCACTCGCAAGGCTAAACACACAGACACACACACACACACCCCAAAGATCTATAGCTATACACATGTGGGCATCACACATGATAAAGCTGAATTTCCACCTGAATACTGAACACTGAGGCTCACACAGGTCTTCTCATCTCCATTTTTATGATTTAATCTTCAGAATGAATCCACATCAAGAATAACTGACACTCCAGGAAAGTCTCTAATATAAAAGAGCCTGAAACAAGAAATAAAAGGAATGTGGAAAACAAAAATGCAAAGAGAACTTCAAAACTAAGAATTAAAATTCTCAGAGAAATAAGAAGATACTATAAACCATGAAATATAAATTTGATGCATTTTTTAAATGTCAAAACTTTTTAGAAATTTTTTAAGTGATAAAAAAATATATGTAATTTAAAAATTTAAGATAACCCTACTGTATAGCACAGGGAACTCTGCTCAATGTCATGTGGCAGCGCAGATGGAAGGGGAGTTGGGGGGAGAGTGGATACATGTATATGTATGGCTGAGTCCCTCTGCTGTCTACCTGAAATTATCACAACATTGTTAATCGGCTATACTCCAACATAAAATGAGAAGTTTAAAAAAATTAAGATAAAATCAAGTAAATTTTCCAGAACATAGAATAAGACAAGATGGGATAAAGAAGGGGATATCTAAGAATATTTCTCACTCTAGGAGGTCCATTCTGATTAATAGCTGTACCGGAAAAATAAAACAAAACCAGACTGAGTTTCAGGACCAGAAGAGCCCACAAGACAACCAGCACAACAAAAACAAAAATCCACTCACTTTCGAATTTTCAAATATTAGATGATCAAAGATAACAAAATCCTAATAGCTTCCAGGAGTAAATACAAACAGATCTATGTAAGAAAACAGAAGTTAGAATGTAATTACACTTTATCTACAACACATTCTCAGCAATCTATTGAAGAAAGTGTAGAGTAAAAAAAAAAAAAGAGAGAAACATGGGTCCAAAGAATTAGGATTCTATGTTTAATCCAAGAGAAAGATGAAGGAAATACCTAGAACTCCTAGAAGACAGATGAAGGGAATTTCTAGAATGATAATAAAAGGAAGTTGCAGTTAAATAGAAGGTCCAGACAGTAAGTAATCAAGCAAGATCAGGGAGATAAGAAAATGGCTTTAGGAGAGAGTGTTCCGAAATATAATAAAATTTAAAAAGTAATAATAGTAATAATAAACAACAAATAGATTACCAGTTGAGTGTGACTAAATTTAAAAGGTATATTCGAGAGTTTGTATGACTTAAAAGAAGTAAAAAAAAAAAAAAAAACTGGAAAAATGAGGCAATTATTAACTGTAAGGAAAACAGAAAATTGCACAAGAAAGAAAATATAATTTTAGGACACCATGTGGTTCAAGTTTGAAGAGCATGTTCATAATAGTATAAACACTGAAAACTGAGTTAACAAAAAATGGCCATATGACTACATTGGGAGGGAGAGGGAGACAAGATGGATATACTGGGGGCCAAGTGGGGGTCATCAGAGAGAATCATGTAGGTTCCTCATCCTCTAGGTCTGAAGTCAATAGGTAACATACAAAACTGAAGAATTAGGAAATACTAGTAGAAACAAGTTATTTGAGGAAATCAAAGTAATCAGCAGAATATACAAGTTAAAAATGATCGATTCTGAGGAGTAGAAAACAGGAATAGAAAGGGTTGGATGGATAAGGAATTCTATTTTTCATATGAAACTTATAGTAATATTTGAACTGTAAAATTATATATGGCTTCCCTGTGACTCAGCAATAAAGAATCCACCAGCCAATGCAGGAGACATGGGTTCGATCCCTGGGTCGGGAAGATCCCCTGGAAAAAGAAATGGCAACCCACTCCAGTATTCTTGCCTAGAGAATATCATGGACGGAGGAGCCTGGCGGGATACAGTCCATGGGGTTGCAGGGTCGGACACAACTTACTGACTAAACAACAACAACAACAAAATTACATATATTATGTTGGCATGAAGCACAATTTAAAGCATAGTAGAATATAAATAAAATAATGTGCAATGTCTGGCCCATTAAAAAGATAAATACACACATACTAGGAGCTTTTAAATGCATGTAACTATTATTAGTAACTATCTCCAAGTTGGTGGGGTTACAGAAGTTTTGTCATTTTCTTCTATAAAGATCTGTATTGCTATTTTAACAAAAAGTAAACTTTTTTTCACAAAATATCTTAAAGTATTTGCTTACCTTAGCTGATTTTTCAAAACGTAAGCCTCCATCCAGCTCAAAAAGAACTGTCATGTTGTAGCCAGTCTGGTTTCCATGTCCATGAGGCCACCAAGTTTCTACAATAACAGCCTTTTAAAAAATAATATTAAGTTCGTCTAAGTAATCTGTGGCATATTTTCAGCAAAATAGTACAGTAATTCAGGGCATCATAGCAACTTCTCAGTCAAGCACAGAGCTATATCACTCTCCCTCCCTGTTTCATGTCAAATTATACCAGTCCATAGATAACATTTAAAAAACTCGACATGCTGGGAGTTAAGGATAGATTAATATAGACCAAAAGAGAAGAGAAGGAACAAAAAGAACAAAATAACATGGGCATTCAGAAAAACAACTCTTCCCATTCCCACACTCAGTTCAGTTCAGTCACTCACTCATGTCCGACTCTTTGTGACCCCATGAACCACAGCACGCCAGGCCTCCCTGTCCATCACCAACTCCCGGAGTCCACCCAAACCCACATCCATTGAGTAAGTGATGCCATCCAACCATCTCATCCTCATTCCAACACTCAGTTGACATTTATTCTATATTCTTAACATTTAGAATTGGACTTTGAGGTGAACTCTTCTTTCAAGCCCAGAACTAGAAAAGTGTTTTGAGTTCTTACTTTATCTGAACAGTTACTGAATGCTGATTTGCTCCATCCTTTTCAGCTCACAATTGTCAATTGGAAGAAAAAGGAAAGGAAAAAGAGAAAGTAAAATCCAGTCCACTTGTACTCATGAAAGTTGAGATTTAGAATTCTGTATTCAGAATAAGCACCAATATTCAAAATAGTTTACCAGTATCAAAAACAATCACAGCATTCAAATATGATGCTTAGGATGCATTTTGGATTTAGGATACTGCAAATACTGCAGAAAAATTAAACTATAACACACCTGACTTCTTGAGAGGAGAGGATTCCAAATTAATCACATAACCTCCATTTTCTTAACCTTAAAATTGGAAGAAATCATTCCTTAGCTAGCACACACAAAAAATATATAACAGGTTAAAAGTAAAGGAGAAAATGGAAAAGGTACAATTTTCCTTAATATTCAGTTCCTTTTTTCTAAGCATTTCTTTTGAACAATACTGCTTTCTATCTTGTAGCCTCTCAGAAAGTGCCGACATTCACCTTGTCGATTTTCACAAAGAGCTTAACAGTCCTTTCCCCATGTTGAAGTTCAATGTTGTTTGTCTGCTGTATGTTTAATTCAGGGATGGCTACAATCGCTTCACCAGAAACCAGCTTTGAACTGACAACATCAAAAGAAGACTCTATTTTAAGATTCCATGTCTTCATATAGTTATCTAAGGTATAAAGAGAAAAAGAAAAATATGTAGAATTCATTGAAAAAAGACCAAAGCAGCTCCTAAACTGTAAGTGCTCCACAAATGCAATCATGATCAAGAGTTCAGTGAAAACTGTTTTAATGTTTAATCCTTCATTCTAAAGAAGAATAACCAAAGTTATATTTTTGTATATACTTCTACTCAAAACTGTTATAATCGTTAAGTCACAAAAACTTTATAAACAGGGCATAAATAGAAAATTACAAGTGAAAAGATAGTATAAATCTTTCAAGATTGATAAACTCTTCATTGTTCCTTTTTATAAAGTAAAAAATACTAAGGGTTTTTAAGCCATATAATAAGTTATAAATGTAGTTGTATTAGAATTAATCAGATGTGCAAAAAATAAAGATGTATTCTAAATGTATATTATTAATCCAAGAAATAGAACCATGTATTTTGCTAAGTGATAGGACTTAAATAGTGACCAGGGTAAACAAACATGGCCCCTGCACCTATGAGCTAAGAGAATAATGGGATATGGATAAGTGCAAAAATGTGATAGTACAAGAACAGGAAAACTAAAAGGTTATTCAGAAAAGTATTCATATTCCCTTTACCACATTTTAGTAATTTTTAAATGGAAGCACATACTCCAATCTGATCCAAAGCTATTTATTTTCTAAGATATCCCTAAGTCTTTGACACCTGCCTCACCTTTAGCTCCTAATCATATTGCCTCTGGCTTCCCTGTGTGCATACTAAGTCACATCAGTCATGTCTGACTCTGTGCAACCCTATGGACTGTAGCCCACCAGGCTCCTCTGTCCATGGGATTCTCCAGACAAGAATACTAGAGTGGGTTGTCATGCCCTTCGCCAGGGGATCTTCCCAACCCAGGGATTGAATCCACATCTCTTACACCTCCTGCATTGGCAGGCAGGTTCTTTACCACTAGTGCCACCTGGGAAGCCCTTACTATCTCTTATTTCAAGAAATAACAATATTTACCAAGAACATATTATGACCTAGGCATTGCGTTATGCCCCCAACATGTATTAACTTATTTAAGCATCGCACCACTGCTATAAGGTAAATTCCACTATTATCATGTTATAAATGAGAAACCTGATTCAGAGAAGTAACTTGCCCAAGGTCACACAGCTAGTAAGTAGCATAACTTGGATGTAAACCAAGACAGTCTAAAATCTAGAGACTGTACACTTAACCTTTAAATGCAGCCACTCTCACCCAAATAATTTCACCCAAACCGTATCTTAGTGGTGTTCAGGATTTTTACAGTGGGGAGAGGGTTTTATTATATAGGAGAACATGATGGCAAGCTATGCCAGACATCAAATATGTCCTCTGGCTGAGTCTTTGACCAAAACAGCACAGATCTGCAAAACTGTTGAAGTACGCTGACAGATCACCTAGCCTACTTTCTGATGTGTTTGATTTTTCTAGACCACAGGCTGCCAAACTACGGTCTGTGGGCCAAACCTGGCCTACCTCCTGTTTCTACAGATAAAATTCCATTGGAACACAGCTGCTATGGGTTGAATCGTATCATTTCTCCCACCCAAACTCCATGTGTTGAAGCTCTGGCCCCTAATGTGATTCTCTCCAGAGACAGGGTCTTTCAGGAAGTAATTACGTTAAACGAGTTCATGAGGGTAGGGCGTCCTATTCTGACAGGAAAGTAGCCTTACAAGAGGAGGAGAGCAATCTCTCCCTCTCCCTCCCTCCCTTCCTCCTTCCCCTTCCCTGCCTCCCCCGCTTCATGTCTCCCACCCCCTTCCCTTTTTCTGTCTCTCTCCCGCCACCTCCTCTCCACCCCCCACGTCTCTCTCTCTCCATGTCTCCCTCTCCCCCCCATGTCCTTCCCTCCGTGAGTCTCTCCCTCCATGCCTGTCTCCCACTCTCCCCATCTCCCTCTCCATCTCCCCCCGACCCTGACCACCACATGAGGACATAACTAGGAAGTGTACCATCTACAAGCCAGGGAGCAGTCTCTCACCACAAACCAAACTGGCCAGTACCTTCATCTTCAACTTTCCAGCTTCCAGAACCGTGAGAAATCAATTGCTGTGGCTGAAGCTGCCCAGCCTTCAGTACCTTGTTCCAGCAGCCCACACAGCACCCATGCTGACTGCTCACACACTGCTCTCAGTTGCCTTCATGCCACAAAGGCAGAGTTGAGTAACTGCAACAAAGGCCATACGAACCTAAACGCTAAAATATTCACTACCTGACCCTTTACAGAAAACCATGCTGCACTCTATCCTAAAATATATCCCCCCAAAATGCTATTCTAAATGCCCACCTCCCTTTTTTCAGGCCTTGACTAGTAGTGAGGCACATGCTGGAATCAAGATTGCCGGGAGAAATATCAATAACCTCAGATACGCAGATGACACCACCCTTATGGCAGAAAGTGAAGAGGAACTAAAGGGTCTCTTGATGAAAGTGAAAGAGGAGAGTGAAAAAGCTGGCTTAAAACTCAGCATTCAAAAAACTAAGATAATGGCATCCAGTCCCATCACTTCATGGCAAATAGATGGGCAAACAATGGAAACAGTGAGAGACTTTACTTTTTTGGCTCCAAAATCACTGTAGATGGTGACTGCAGCCACGAAATGACCACCTACAGGTTTCAGTTCTGCCCTCCAGGCCCCTCCTACCAACCAATAACCACTAAAATCAAGCAGGTCTTCAGCTGTTTCCTATCACTTCTTCAACAGGGAATCTGCTGCTTGTAACTGCCTCCAGCTGTAACAGTAACTCGCAAAGGTTACTGGCAAAACTGTTCAGTGCCTACTGCTTCTAACACAGAACGTTCTAAAATAAACCATCACACGTCTGGAGCTCATCCCATTATTCTCCTTGAGTGCCACAGAATGAAAAACCTAAGGCTGAGAAATGAAAAACCCAACATGAAGAGTTACAAGCCTATCGTCATTACCGAACCCTACACCAACACATTCTGCTCATCTTCCAAATGGAGTACAACCCTTCCCTCCAGAAGTCATGGAAAATTTCAGTAATTTAGGTTCACAAAGCACATTTAAACAATAATTTTCTGTCATTACCCAGTCTCTTCTTTTCACTGGCTGATTTTATAATGTATAATCTTACATCTAGTTAAGGAATGCTCCCTCTTATAAATCAAGACCCATTTCTAGAACACAGCTTCCTAGCATATCTCTTGTAACTAACAAATTATCCTTCCCTAAAGAATACCTATCACCCCCAGCTCTCCTGAAGCCGAATGCAAGATTTCAAAACTGGGCAAAGTACTAGATGGCATAAAGAAGAAAGGTTAGTAAATAATTCAAAATCCCCTCCCAAGTCTCTCAGTTACATCAAGTTCTGCATCCTTCCTCACCCTGACTGATCAACCCCAGGCCCAAACAGGACAGGAACTCATCATCAGAACAGGGTGGAGAATAAACCAACATGCTCTCTCTCTACAATCAACACCTTCCCTGGCCTGCAGCCTCAGCAGTGTCCTAGCTGATCTTTTTTCCTCGTAGAAGACACTACAGTTTACAGTTTGCTCCATACAAACTCAACCAGGCAGGCGACCTGGGACGCGGCAGAGAACACGGTTCTAGCCATTGAATCATTCTCAAATTCTTCAAAGGCTGATTCAGTGTGAGGTTTCTAAAGACAAGAACCAACCAAATCAGCATGAGTCTGACTTGAACTGGAATTTGCAGAAAGGGTAACCAGCCACACAGCCCAGATTAATGTGTGCTGCTGCTTCATGCAAGCACTCTTCAGGACAACGCCAATGCGTGCAGTTGTGGCCAACACACTAGCCTTTGACACTGTTTATGGGACTTCCCTCATGGTCCAGTGGTTAAAGAATCCGACTTGCAGTGCAGAGAACGTGGGTTCAATCCCTGGTTGGGGAAATAAAATCTCACATGCCACAGGGCAACTAAGCCTGTGAGCTGCAACTACTGAACCTCTGTGCTCCAGAGCCCAAGTACCACAACTCGAGAGTCCACAACAAAGATCTCCCATGCCGCAACTAAGACCGATGCAGCCAAATAAATATAACTATATATATATATATTTAAAAGTCTAAAATGTGCCAGCTCCTTTTACACTCCCATGTAGTACACTTTTTTGTCAAGATGTGGTCAGGAAAAAAAAAGCTTTAGTGGGTTGTCTAAGAGAAGAAAAAAGAAAACAAGTCATGGAAGGAGAAAAATAGGAAGATGGCTGAATTACCTTAATTCAAACACACAGAGGAGCCTAGTGAGGGTCACAAAGAGCCGGACGTGACTGAGCATCTGGGCACACACAGAAGCGTGTCTGTAACCACCAGAAAGACACTCTCAGAACTACACCGTAAGCCTTGCTTTAACTGACTGTAATTAAGCCTCAAGTATCAATATCTTCATTTAATCATGTATCTAGCTTCAGAAAACCTGAGTTCTTCCACACATATGCCCTCACTAGGTTATAATGAGTGCTGTAATTTACAAACATGGGAAGAGAACCTGTGAAATGTTAAGAGGCAGAGGAAACGTGGTGATCTCGAGTCACTTTGTAGACGTGGTATTCGAGGCCTTGACTGCAGAATTAGCCCAAAGTTCCTGAGCCGGTGGACAGGACAAGGGCCCAGGTTTCCTGACCCCAGTGCTTTCCATCTTGCATGCCTCTCCCACAGAGGTGCCTATCAAAGAGAGGCACCCTAGCATGCAAACACGGAATGAAGCTGAACAATGAGGAAGAACAAAAGCAAACGTGCTTTTTGCCCTTCAGAGTCCTAAGTCCTAATAGTAAATATGTGATATGTGAAAAAAAGCACTTCAAGGGTGTACAATAGAATGTCAGCCTCTTAATATGAGAGTCGTTGTAAAAAAGAAAGAAAGAAAGAAAGAAAAAACACTGAAATCTACAAACATAAACAATGTGTCTGACCCTCCACCAAGTGCATAATTATGTGATGCCCAGATCCTCTATTTGTCAGAATACCATCTTTGTAATCTAAACTACATGAC